TATGTCGCGGAATGGCCGCCCAAGCATGTTACACACCCAGTGTTGCTGATTCACGGCCATATTATCTCCCAGTGGCCGCCGCAGTTCCAGCAGCTGATGGGCGCCTTCAGCGCCGTGAGGGTGCCCGGAGTAAACTCAACTCAAGCCCGCCCAGGCCTTGCCCTTTCCTTTGCCGTCCTTGCCTTTTCCTTTGCCCTCAGGGCAATCACGGGCAAAGTGATCGCCTGAGTTGCAGAAAAATGCTTTGCTGTCGCTTGCTACCTCTGCGCAAGCTGCTTTGAAAGCGCAGCTTTCGACCCCATCTGGCCATCATGGACTCTTTACGCATGAGGTATCTAACCCAAACTTCTTCGGTCCTATGTGCAACTTGGGCGTTGTCACCAGAAGGCACGTGGCTGTTGAAGTGTGACCGAAAATCTCAGCACTCTGTGCTCATGGCCACCACAGGTGAAGCAGTCGACAGGTCCTCCCATGGCGAGACCTCAACGCCATGGCCATGCAGGTCGTGTAGACCCATTGAAGGATTGAAAATAGACTTCACAAATAACTTCTCCAAGCCACGCTTCAATCGGCGCAAAGCATAAGGGACGGTTTCAGCCAAAAAGCTCCGGCATGACTTCATGTGGTGCAGCTGTCTGCAGTGAAAAGACACGGTAAATGTGCAGGGGCCCAGGCAGGCGCCAGTAAGCGCATGGCCTGTTGTGAAAGTCAGAAGTACCATGAAAAGATTTGAGGACGAATCCTCGGCGCACCTCCAGAACAGGATTTCCCGATGGAGGTCGGAGTGACACGACTTGAGCCAAAACGTCCAAGTTGTATTTCTGCGTGCATTTCCAATTACTCCACCAGAAGTGAGTGCTTACAAATTCGATGCCTTCGAGGAGTAACTCAAACTCAAACTAGTTGAGGCAACGACAGATCGATCGGAGAAGCCTTCTTTTTTCGACGGCATCGCAGAAAGAAACAGCATGTTGTACTTAGCTTGCTTACCCATTGAATTGGACGTTGGTAAAATGGCGATTCTTGGCCGTTGTGATCGTCCCAAGCTCTGAGAGAATCTGAGAGATGTTTGTATGCTTGTGCTCTGACCTCGGAAGAACTATCTACCTCTGGAATTGCGTCAGGGATTCCAGCGGGCCGGTGATGCAGTAGCGATGCCCTTTGGTCGCGTGGCCCCACACGTCTGCACGCGCGTTGGTACCTGGCTCGCACATCTTGTGTCCCGTTCACCTATGTACAGCTCCATGCAGTAAGCTAGGCCGCTAGGCGTTGCCTCCGAAACCGAAGGATGACACGCCTGTGAGGCCGCTGTTGTAACCTTCGCTCCAGGATGTTTAGGACTTTAGGATGCCTAGAGTGCACAGGATACAGCGATACAAGGACACGGCCATAGTCGATCAACTCACTCTCGAAGTAAACAGGATAGCCTAAGCACAAGTGCACAAAGGAACGCAAGGCACTGAGTGACTTCTTCTGCCTGGCTTCTCCGAGGCCATGGCCAGCCACGTCCAAGTGGGGGTTCAGCACAAGGAGATGGATGTTGGGAGCGCCCGTCGAGTAGTTGAGCATGCAGATACATTTGATCAAGCCTCAAAAGGTTCATTTGGTTAGCTCGTTGCTCTGATGGCGCTGCGCTTGCGTATGCTATTGCATATGCTATGCGCCTGCCATGCCAGCGCCAGCTTCCAAGTGGCCAAGGTTCGTCTTGGAGCTTGTCTTCAGAATGGGCCGCGAGCGATCTGCCCGCATGACCTTGCGAAGCATGTGCAGCTCAAGAGCGACTCTGTGGTCAATCTCTCACCAAGGCCAGCCGTCCGAGTCTGAGAAGCAAACCCCTCGCAAGGCTCCGATCTCGATGGGATCTCCAAGCGCAGTTCCTGGCTTTGTGGGGCTCGTCAGAGCCACAACATGCGACCTGGTCTGCAAGAGTGGCCTGTTCCGTGACACTCTGCGATGGTGATACTGTTCGGTGACAAGCCGGCCTGACTGATCCGTCATCAGTCACGCGCAAGACAGCTTTTTTGGGGCACAATGTCTGGCTCTGGCTTGCCTCCCTCATGGACTGCCGGATAACCTCCTGCTGCGAGGGGCCTCATGATGCTGGATGCTGCCCGGCCTTAAAGGTTACACGCCGTAAAATCCCCCCCAAGCTTCTGACCGTGAGGTGCTGTCATTGAGGCACTGCGACCATCCTGCAGTGAGCACCCTAAACCCGAAACCCTCAGCAGAAGACTTTCTGCTAGCGCTGTGTTGGGAAAGCGGCCTGATTGACGCTGCAACCAATCAGCATGGCAACCCTGCCAGCCGCTTCCACCACATCCTCACAGACCTCCCGTGCGTCTTAGGGTTTACGTATAGGGTTTAGGGGTTTAGGGTTTAGGGTCACAGCATCGCACAGTACGTCTCTGGAGGGCAATGAAGAATGTTCTCCGCCAGCTCTTTGGGAAGAAACGGCCCTACTTCTAGCGTTTCATACCTTCATGTAGTATCAGGATAAGCGCTCAAGGCCAGTTTGCCAACGCACCAACAAATGACAACATATGAGACCGCACAGACAATCGAATCGCATCCATAGTGCACTGTTGAGGTTGTATTTCACAAGCTGTGTGGCCAAGAGCAGTTTAATATGACAATCTGGCCCGACGATAGTGGCTCATGTGCAGTAGAGTAGTTGCGACGTCCGGGCTGGAATCTGCTCAGGCAGCTACCTTTTTTTTTGACACCGAGACTTGCACGCAACGGGGAGTGACTGCCAGAACAACACGACGGGATGATGATGGCATGAGGCCTTCAGCTTGACGGATCCGACACCCTCTCCTCGAGCGAAGCCATCAGCCGAGTTGTCAAAAGTAAAGCACCTCGGTGAAAGTCGGGCCCGCACTCTTTTGTGACAAGCATTGCTGCAACATTCTGGAATCGTCTGGGGCAAAAGGCCGGCCCTGGTGCGTTAACATACCCGGGCCGCTCAAGGAGATGTAGCCACCAGGTCCCAGAAGCAGATTGCTTCCAATCTGCCATGCACAAAGCTTGGAAAACTCTTCCATGGCGCTTGCTCTCCCATGCTCTCCCTAATGCCATGCACGGGCTACGACCAGACCATGCTTCAACTCGGTTGCGATATTGGGCGTCTGCTGATCCTCTAATTTCGACCTTCGCAACATGGGCTTTAAAGCAGAACTCTGAAGCTTTGATCCCCAAACCTCATGGTCATCTGCGCAATGCCCGTGGCGACCAGACTCGAGGAGCCTTCACTGCGAACAACGTCGACTCACAACGGGTCCACGCCAAGCACGTCTGAGCTCATTCGGCATGCGTGCTAAGACTGAGGCAAGCTGTTTCGGCGGTGGACGTGGGACCCGTCAATCCGCAAACATGGGAAAGCCGGTTTGCCGCCGCAGATCGCTCCCTGACAGTTGAAACGTGAATGTGACCTGCCGAGCTTCCTAACTTTCTATAGGAGCCTTCCAGCAAGCTTGATATCCATATCCTTGGGAGCAGTCCAGTGGATGCCATCCCAATCGGAGCCTCGAGGCATGAAGTTGTTCTGCGAGGATTGATGCAGCTGGCCGGTGGTACTGCGCATACTTTGCAAACGGGTGAGCATCCGGCCGGAGTCCCCAACAAAGACGCCACATTTCCACCCTTTCATCTCACTGCGTCGGTGGCCAGCATTGTGCAGAGCCTCGTAGCCAACCTGCCATTGCTGGCCATCTACAAGCCGTCAGCTCACTCTGTCACCACTGCAGAAGCCGCCTCCAACATGACTCGCATGTAGGGAGCCATCTCAATAGCCTGCACTTTTTGGCCATGCCAAGGCAGCCCTTGCATGCTTGCTCGTGGCCTCTCTTTGATCAATGCCGAAGAATTGGTTGTCAAACATCTCGATTTCAGACTGGCGCAACAGAATGGAGCTCATGTTCATCGCCAAGCAAGGAATGCAGGAAAAGACTCGAGCTGCCTGCTGAAGATTCGCTCCGTGGCATGTCATGGAGAAGCCAATGGTGTGCTCTGCCCTGGCAAGAGATTCAATCTACGTTGCGAGGCCGGGCAACCGGATCCCTGAATATGTCTGGGATTCCTGTAGTAGATGTCTGTGTCCCAGCGCTGGATAGGGATTTTGACCTGCAGAAAGAAGACTGCTGCAAACGCAAGTTCCGCAGTCCGCGGCTCCTGGCCTCTGTGTCTGTCCCGGCCACGAGCATGTTCCAGTATGCCTGGGCACGGCTCTCTAAAGGAGGGAGAGATGCAAAGCTTGGGTCAGCCGCGCCTGCACTTCAAAACCCAGCCCAGGATACCGCGAGCACACCTCGCCCACTTGCAGTCACCACCAGGATGTGCTCAAAATTCTGAAAATCTCCGAGTGGGGGTACCCCCATGACGTTGTTCCTTCGGCCCTCCGGCTCCTCGGGGCCGTCCAAGATGCGCAAGGCCTCCAGCGCTCAGCTACTCAGCGGCTCAGCGGCTCAGCCCATCAGCTCTGGTTCTCAGTTCTCTTGAAGTTCTAAGTTCGTGCCTCCTCCTTGTCTTTCCACGCAGACGGCACGTCTAGGACCCAAGACTGCAGGGCCACGTTCTTACCTGTCCAGGCACATCTCCCAGCAATTGCTCTGCAATGCGGAACCCCATTGCCGCCTTTGGGGCGGTAGCTGTAGTTCAGGCCCAAAGCATCACAACGGAAAACGATAAGCTTGTTTTTGGAAAGCGGAAGCGTCACCTCCAAGACTCTCTGGTAAAGAAGAAGGCTGCGTGTCAGAAGGATGCCTTACCATACACTGCTCTGCTTCAGCTGTCCTCGTTGTAATCGTAGCCAGTGGGGTTTGGAAACAGCTCCAATTCGCCACCGTCCTGGGAACATGACTCGCGAAAGCTAAGGCTCGCGCCACCGAAAGCCTACGCGGCTGAGAACTTGGCATTGTCTATCAGGAAAATCATCGCAAGACGCCTGGCACAAAGCAAACGTATTTGAGCAGGAAAGCAGCACTTGCAGGAAAGCGTCAGGAAGAAGGTTGAATTCAACTTTGAAAGGTCCTAATGTCCGAAGTCCAAAGGTGGAGCTTCATGAAATCTGCCAGGCACGCTTGCCATCGACAAAGGCGATGTGCATGTCCAGCTCGCTCTGCTCGTCCTTCCCACATTTCGATCAGGCTGAGAGCAGCTCAAATATGCAAGAAATGGTGTAAGAGATTATAAAACACGCTGTATTCTTCTTGCACAGCTTAATTCGAAGAGGAGCTTGCTTCAGCAACTGGCTGTTGTATCCTGCCCAAACGTCCGACTTCTCACGCCTGCAGCCAAAAAGCTCCAGATGTGTCTTGAAGAAGCCGTTCGGCTCAGACGCTGCCCGCGCACCTTCATCACCTGGATTGATTGAGGATCTGACCTGGCGCTTGTATTTCTTCACAAGGCCGCTCCACACAGAGGGTAGTGCCAGGCCGAGGGCGGGGCCAAACCACTTGTACGCTGGAACACAGAAAATGCCTTGTCATCTTCATACTCCGGCGTATAAGGCCTGAAACTTCAATACAAGGCTACCGAGAAGCAGCTGAAGAAGCGCAATCACTGGGAGGCGCTCCACATCAATGCCGCAACGTTGGTCAGTGCTCTGTCACAAAGCTCCAACGGTGCCTCAAGGTTTATGGAAAGAACATGCAGAGACATGTCACACCGAAGGCTTGCAGCCCGCGCCCCAAGCCCCGTGCCAATCGGTCCATTTGCATGTTAGGCCCCATTTCCTCGATGTCGTACATCCGCAGTCCTGAGCCTCTGCTCGCCTGAGGGAAGAGAAACATTGGCAACGGCGGATTGAAGCTCACCCTAAGAAGCCGCGAAGGCGCCTGATAGCCCACGTACTGGAGCCAGGCAATCTTGCAATCGCTGACTTCCACGCCCAGGTACTCCTCCTCCGTTTCCTGAGACAAGCAGCAAGAAGTTGCAGATGTACGGGGTTGGCTTCTGGGCCCGTGCTGCAGGGAAAACGCCCCACTCCATTGGCCCGATGCTGGCATCGATCTCCTTCACGGCCCTTTGGCAGAACAGTGTTCCAGCCCACTCGACAATCTTTGGCCTGTTCTCAGCTTCTGGCTCGTCGCCAAGCGGCATGCTGATGACGCAGTACCTTCCATCCAACAATCTCACAAGATTTCCACCTGCTTAAGCTCAAGCTTTACATCTCGCCAGGGAACCCTTTGTCATTGACAGTCTCGGCAACTGCTGCAGAGAATTCCTCATGCTCATCAGGGCCCTCAGACACCGCAGGACATGTAGAAGTGCATGGAATCATTGGATGAGGAGCGCATTCAACTACAAATCACTTGGTGCCCCCACGGTTGGCCAGGCCACATCATAGCCACCATCCTCCGGGTGCGGGGGACCGTAGTCCTCTTCCTGGCTTACCCGCAAGATCTCGCAGATGCAGAGAAGAGAAAACCCCAGCAGCAGGGATGGCGAGCAGCCTCAGAAACCGGTGCAATTGCCCTTCGTGAAACGTGAAACTGGGCTCGCCAGTAACGACAGCGCCCCTGCGCTAGCATGAAGATTTTGGTCCAGACGCTAGCTGGCAAGAGCATCAAGTTTCGTGTGAAGGAAGCCGAGAGCATCGAGAGCTTGCAAGACGAGCAGAAAACGCGTGGCATGCTGCCTGACCGGCAGTGCCTGATCTCTGTAGGCAAGCAGTTGGAGAACACTCTGTGGGACAACACGTGCAACAGCAGTCGACGCTTGATGTGCTGTGCCCACGTGCTAGCGTGCACAGCTTTGTCCTCGCGTTGGCTGGCAAGAACATCAAGTATGACATGGATGATTGGTCAGCATTGTTTGGTCGTTGTTGACCGGGTTTTTCTCGTAGGCCAAGCTGTCTTGGACGACGACATCTAGAAGGCGTTGACGCTCTGGGTGCCGCGGCTGCGTGATGACAGGCAGGTGTTTGTCAATACTGCGGATGGCTCTTTCTTAAAAGTAGGCACCCATGAAAAGGTAACAAGATGTCTAGTTTCTATTTCGGTATGGTTCTTGTGTGAGTCTAGACTCCATGTGAAAACGCAGCCTGGAAGCGGGCAGAGCAGTTTCAGTTTTGCATTGCCGCCAGTGTGCAGTTTGCCTCTGCCTCTCCCGTAAGATATACAATGAGGCGCCAATTGCCAATTGCGCTGATGCTACCGCAATGGCGTCCATGGGCATTCCAAGTCTTAGAAGCTCTGCAGGAGTGCCTCTTTCATCTTGATGTTAGCTTTTTGCGGCTGTGGCTCGTGGGGTAGGATGGCTATTCCGCCGAAGGCGCCGGTTAATCTCCCCGCACCCTACGAACGCATCCAGACACACGCTTGCGTGGCTTGATTGGCACTGGGCGTCAAAGTCACAGTGCTATGCGCAAGCGCAAATATTCAGCCTCTTCGTCCCGCTCGCGGTAGGCCATGGCTCCTGGAAGCGGAGTACATGAAAAGAGAAACTCTGGCAGTTTGGACAATGCGGCCTGCCCAAGCCAAAGCTCAAAGATCGCCTTTCGTCATATGGCGAAGCTGAGCCGATAAAGGCGAAGCCGGCGGATGTCCCGTGGACTTCACAAAGTTTCATGAATCCTGCAGTTACTGCAAGATGTCTGCTTAAGCATTCTGCATTCATTTGACTAGCAGCCGCAACTCAGCGGAACGCTTTTGAAGCTTTGTGCGGTTGCGAGGTCAACCAGCCCTTGCCGGCACACTGAGCATCTACCACCCAACAAGCGTTGGTGTTGACCAATGCCGTTGGTCTAAAGGTGTTTGTGGGATCACCGTTCGGTGAGCCCGAGTTCATCCGCGTGTAATTGTATAAGTATATAAGCTATAAACCCCACATGGGCGTGCCCTGAATCAGATTGAAGGGGCTGTGCACTAGAAACTGGAAAGCGTACGGTAGCGACCACCCACTTCCATCACTTCCACGCCATTCGACGCCTCAGCGGTCATTCACAGATATGAAGCTTGGAAGCAGTGCGTTCGCAAAAGTGCACTGCTTGAGGCAATTTTGTTTGATGCATCCTAGAACGCTCTTGGCGAAATCTCCCTTTGTCCTCTCGGCTTCCTTTAAGGAAAGCCGAAAGAGGGGAAGGAGAAGGTGCACTGTTCCAGAGCGTAAGAGCCCCATTTTAGGGACTCTCACAGCGAGCCTCCAAACCCTGCTCCAGCTTTGGGCAGGAGCGGGCACATGGCTCTAAACTTGGGATTCCGTGACAGCATTGGCTTGCCCGTCTAGCCTTTCGAGATCTTGAGTATCTGCTAAAGTACGTCTCAAGCACAATTTGCATGTCTGTGAGCTTGCTAGGAAAATGGAATCCGCGAGAACCCCTCAGAAAAACGGCAGCAGTCAACGCGGTAGCCACCTCAGCATGTTTGCATCCAGTCCTATCCAACCCCATAAATGGATCCCAGGCTCTGGGAGCCCGCACCGACTAACTATTCCAGCTCAACATCTGACAAAGGCAATCTGGCGGAGGGAGGATCCTCCCAAATCCGAACATGCTCAAGAACTCAAGCGCGGACTTCATCACAAGCTCATGCGCACGCACTGCTTTGACATGCTGAAGTCCCGCGAATCCGGGAAGCTTTGCGAGCTCTTGATGGGCCCTCAAGCAGGTAGCTCACTGCAGCTCTCCGCAAACATCTCTTGCTGCCGCCATTGGCCTGGCAGACGCCCCACCGTCACAGAGTCATCGTCGCACTCCACGAGGTCGGGCCCACCTCTGCAAGAACTACGCGTGAAATGCATCTTCCTTGCCCAGCAAGGCAGGCTGGACCTGGGCAACGGAGATCAGTCTGGTCTTCCGGACTGCCAACACAGTCCTGAAAAAGGCTGCGAGGCTGGACATGGCATCTAATCGACCTGTGGCCACCAGCAGGCACCAAAGCCCAAGGTCCTGTGCTTTGACCACGTGGGCTCGTAACCTGTAGCACTGTAGCGCATCTATGCACATCTGACACGCCTTTTGATCTAAACGGACAATCCAGACATCCTGTCCCCTCTCATGCTGAGGCAACGACGCCCTGTTCGAAAGCTTCTGGTCAAGATTTGACTCCTGCTTTAGCTTGTCGTTCAAAGTTCACTGTTGCTTCTCCCTGCGTGGGAAGCCATTCCCACCTTCACTGTTGATGGCGCCGTCATCAAGCGATTCTCACGGCGCAAGACCTCTGGCCTGTCCCAGAGCTCCAAGGCGCCCGGAGAGTCTCTGCTGTTTCCACTCTTCAAGCAAGTCAAGTAGGTCACGGAACGGACTAAGGCTCGAACCGGCTCCAACAACCTGACAATCTTTGACGGAAAGGCATAATGTTGTTGAAAAAGACCATTTCAGACACAGCGAGATGAGTCCTGCAGACCTTCCCTTTCTTGAATCAAGCGACGGTTGCGGAGGCCCTTCTGCCAGTCCTCTTCTAGCCTCTGTAATTTTTGGTTGCGTAGCCTCGCGGCGCATCTAAACGCATGACAGCTACATTTTGCCTAGTTTAAGCCAAAGAGCTCTTCAACCTCAGGATCGGCTGTCTTCCTTGAAGAGGTGACTTTCCTGCGGAACGCACGCGCAATGCGGTAATGGCGTCCGAGATACTGTCCTCTTTTACATAGCCAACATGCTGATATTGCGTACATCAAACATGCACTGCTTGACAGACCATATTGAACGTATGCCCATGAGTCTGTATGAGACGGCTGCGTTTACATGTAAGGATGCAGTTTGGGTGTTGCAGTGGGTGTTGAGTCTGTATGGGCTGAGCGTTTTGCGATACCTAAGTGACCCAAGAAACTGCTGAACACGGGCAGGTTACTATCCTTGCAGAGGGGAATCATGAATGGACCTCTGTCACAAGCGCTTCGTCTCTACAAGTTCAAGAAACGATCGGGCGTAACGTTTCGGCTCCAGCACTTCGCTGACTAGGGACCACGAAAGCTCAAAATGTAGAAGCGACCAGCCGAACGTGATACAAGAATCCACTGCGGCATGCGGGCAGAAAGCCAAAGCTACCCCAGACCTCGGGGACCTCACGTTTCTTGTTCCAAGCTCTTGGGTCCTCTGGGCGCTGCGGAGATTCTCGGTGGGGATGCAATGGTCATCTTCCTGTTGCTGGAACCAGGCATGCCTGGCGGCCTCGAGGTTCGCAGAACAACTATCCATTTTGAAGACTTCGGCCTCATGTTTCTGCATGTTTTTAACTTGTTTACATGCTTGTAGAGCTTTGACTTTGAGCCCTGAGCCTCGCTGGCAGTGAGGCGCTGTCGGTAGTCGTGCTGCAGCCTTGCAATTGTCATTCTGGGCAGTAGGCACTTCCAGATTGCACACAGATTGTTCCAAATTACATGTAGAAGCAGTCAGGGAGCAAACGAAATAACAAGTCCAGGCAAACGTCGCTGAGCACAGCCCGCTTCTGCCAGCGGATTTTTCTTGTCAAAACCTCCCAGGAACCAATGATTGCAAGTTGCGCACTTGCCCCCCGCCCTTGCAGTGTATGCTGTCACACTGTCGTGATAAACGCGCCAACTGCAAAGTAAAGCTAGCGCTATGGCCGCCCGAAAGGCAAGCTCAACAAAAACCGCCAACCTGCCGGCAGACTGGCTAAATGCTAGGCGCTGCGAGGACAGGCAACTAAATGAACATCAAATTCTGCAGTCGTCATCGTCGTCATCGACGTTGCCGTCATCGTGTGGATTCGGCAGAATACTTACTGGCCATTCTCGCGAGGCCTCGAGCAGATTACGTCAACCCGGTCGCGCAGTCACCATGCGGTTGAGGTGGTTGGACTCGTCTGTGTCTGTACCGCCTGTACCCTGAGAGCTGCCTTGATCATAATCTCCTTGGGCTCTTTCGCGTCGTAGGGATACTCTCCTTGGGGAATGCTGGTGTCACATCTCCTTTTGCACAGCAAGATGCTCCAGGCTTCACGTTGCTGAGGTGCGGGCCATACATCAGCAGGTACATCAAAACACCGAAGGCCCACACGTCAACCAGTTCTGTGTACCTGGCAAATGCCGAGGAGCTTTTCAAAAGCAATGTTGCCAGGCAGATCATGTGCATGCAAGTTGCCAAGAACGACATCAAAGCCAATGACAGCAACTGGGTCCTCATAATTTCTAATCTTTCTTAGTTTTATGCGGATCCCCGCCTTTGCCCAATCAATTCCGGTGCAACCTGCATTGCAATTCTTGGCGGCATTCATGCTACTGCGGCGTGTTCTCAGAGAGCACTTTAGCAAAGTCAAGCAACATAATGAGGGGACCCGCAGAGCTCAGACATAAACCTGAGACTCAAATGAGTGCAACTCTTGCGCGGCAGATATGATACGCTGCCAGCATATGCAAGTCGAGTCTCTTCCCCTCTTGGAACCTGCATGCCATTCCGAAATCAATCATTTTGACCTCAAGCATGTGTGGAGCATATCTGCTGCGCCAGTGAATCGACCAGTCTCACTTGCCCTGATATCCATGACTCTCCTTCTCTTGTGCACGCGGCCTTTGATTGGATCGTTGGCTCCGCAAGAAGAAAATTTTCAGCTTTCACATCACGATGGACAATTTGCCTTGGTTTTCTTGGACACAGCTGACCCCACCATTCCTCCTCAACTCCCACGTGCTGGTTGCACCAAGGTGCAGTTTATGAATGTACTCGATGGCGGCCAGCATCTGTCTGCCCATGATGGCTGCATTGTTCTCTGTAAACCTCTTCAGGTGCGACAACGATAGCATGTTGGAAAAAACTAACTACTCCGTGCACTAAACTATTGATTACTCTTGTGAAGCGGACTACTCGGATTACGAATGGATGTTTGCGCCCTTCATTCTCTTGCCTTGGATTCACAAAAGCCAGTATTCCCTGCCTCCTGAGCTCCACGATTTTCTCAAACACTTCACCACCCGCACACTGCTCTGTGACAACATACCTCAATGGGTGCAGCGAGTGTTTTGCTTCGACCAGCCCATCTGGACAAAAGAAGCTTGGACTTGATCACGGTCTGAGCAAGCTGTTGAGCATTTTGGTTTCTCTGCCAAGGAGCACAAAGTGCCTGTCCTCAAAGAAGTCAAAGAAACCTGAATGCATGCCCTCCTACCGTCACTGCATGTCACTCCTTCTACTGCTTGACACCCGTGACGGCTGTGAAGCCAAGAGCTGGGCGAATGATGTTATCATGATCAAGCTGCCGCAACAGCTCTACTTCAAGGTCCAGGTCATGGCGACTTAAGCTTCCATCCTCCCATAGTTCTTGCAGCACGACTCACTCCTGAAGGGTTTGACACTGCAGTCCTTCTCCAGCACCTTCACAGCCATGACACTAGTAGGATCCTGGCACTGTGTAAACTCAGGGCCGCCTACCTGCCGAGCTTCTACGCGCCTCAATCAAACTGGCGCTGCGAACTTGCCCGAATGCCCCGCTCCCTTGGCTTTGAGTCATGGAGTTGAAGGCTCTCTTGAGCACGCAGTGCCATCCGAGATGCCCAGGACCTCGCCAAGCCTCTGTTGACGTTGAGGGACCGGTGTGCTCAGGTGTAGTCTAACTGAACCGCAGCAAAGATGCAAGTACGAGTCCCGAATATCCCTCGGAGCTTCTTGGACATGTTCTTCCTTGCAAAGCACTGACTTCCTCAAGGCCAGCAGAGTCTAGCGACAACATCTGAGCTCGGATCGTGACAAACCTCAACGCCAACGCTGCCACAATCTGATGCGTCATCCTGCAGTTCCGGCCAAGCAAGCACACCGTTCACGTGCTTGGCAGCTGTGCACCAAGTGCAGGAAGCTCAACAGCACACATCTCGAGATTTTACATGTTCATGCATTGCCCCCTGAAACATATGCGCCATCCAAGCTCTTTACACTGTCTTACAAACCCAACAAAGAAGCGGAAAGCAGCAGCACGCAGCAGCACGCAGCGGCCTCATGGGGAACAACCGTAAACGTCCATTGTTTGTCCTGACCCACACTGGTTCTGAAAGCAGTCTGCGTGATCTCTGAAGAGGGGGAGCATCCTTGGCTTTCGTTCCGGAGGCGCCGCAGCCCATGCTCCTGAACTGTGTTGCATATTGATCTTCGTGCGACAGGTCATGCCTGCGCATGTGACACGGAATGTCGGAACCGGACGCCTTGTCACCGCAGCTTGGGCTTTCCAAGAGCATCAGTTGCTCGCGCCATGCGCCCAGGACAGGTGGCTATGCCCCCTGGCTTCCTGGTGTCAGGCCTTAAGCCTTGAGCCGACGGGAACGGATTTTGGTCAGGGAGATTTTGCACAAGCCCTTGGCACAAATGGACAGGAAAGCCCAACAAAACTGAGTTATACGCCCCGACGGCAACTCACCGCCAGCTCGCTGCCTGAGACAAGCTCACTATAAGCCACTGAGTTCACTTTCCTTCCGCTCGCCGTTTGCAGCAAGACTGGCCATGCCGGCTACGTAGTAGAAATAAGAACATTACTAATACTTGTAGCAATATTAAGTATAATAATAACATCTATTTGTGTATGGTAAAAAAGATGTCATAATGGCGATAATAGCAGCTACAAGTAGACATCTCTGAACTCTTCAAGGTCCAAATGAAAACTATCTAAACGGACTCTTTTTGGCCACATGCACAGGGTGCTTCGCGTGAATGGTTCCAGCTCAAGTTCTGCTTCTAAACTACGGGCTGGGGCGCAGACAACAATCGCTCCAGCCTTGCTCGTCGGCCTTGACCTTGACGTGCGAAGGGGTGACAAGCCGGTCCCAAGTGCAAAGTTGCCGACTCCCAAGGCTCCAGCAAAGGTGAGGGTCTAGGCCGCGATTGTTGCAGCCCTCATGGGTTAAGCTTCCTTGGCCTTCACGGCGACCCAAATTATCCTGGCGGCCCTGGTGTCCGCGCTCTTCGCACTCTGCATCTCCCATTGGAGGCTGCACTCTGGCCTAGGCTTCTCCCGACACTGCCGAACCCTTCGTTTTCATGTTGAGCAATGCCAAGCGGCCGTTTTCTTGCCGATGTTGCAAACTTGCCACTTCTCTTTGGAGCTGGGCATCCCTCTAAGCAGAAAATGCCCTCTTAGAGGGCAGAGTGGAAGAAAAGAGGAACCCGAAGGGTTAGCCAAAAAGGCAATATAAGTTGTGGCAAGTGCAGAAACCAGATTGGGAGGCTGCCCCCTTTGGAGGCTTTGGGTCCTCTTGCCTCTCAGTTTTGGGCACAGTTGGCACAGTAGCGATATCAGCAAAGTTGGCTGACTTGTGTGGTGCCCGGAACATGCTGCCCTTCTCTGGCCAGTAATAACAGGGGCTCAGAAGTGCCCAAAACATCACATAGGCTGCATGTGCTTGAAAAGGAAGCAAGGCATCCTGGCAACATCTTCATCCGTTGCACTACGCTTTGTGAAAGTACACCTCACGCATCATGTTATCATTTACAAGTTAACAACCTGATGTTTTTGCCGGGGACAGTATTTGCCTAGAGGAAGCACATCCGAAGTACATGTCCCCGCCGGCGGTCCTGAATGGGCTGGTAGAAGCAGAATCCAGCGATCACTGCCCCCAAGTTACCTCCAGCTCCCACCAAAGCAGACACAACCGCGAGCTGATCTGGCTTCATAAATGGCACGATTCCATAACTGGTCCCCTCCGCCATCTGCACAAATAGCGAGAAAAAGACCAGCGCCGCCAAGGCCACGTACCAAGGCTGTGAATTATCGACCATTCCGAATGCAAACAAAAATATCGCTTCCAAAAAGAGCGCCAAGAACTGCGCCCAAAGCCGCCCACGGAAGCCAAAGCGCCGGAAACAGATGTCGCTGGAAATTCCTCCTAACGACCTTGCAAAAAGATTCATAAGCCCGAATGACCCAGCAAGAGCGGCCGCATCACCCGCTCCCATTTGGAAATACGTACGAAAATGAACTGCCAGTTGATTATTCATTGCAAGTTCAGTGCCGAAACAAGCTGAATATTGGAAAATCATGATGAGGACTCTCACGTCCTTCAAAACTTCCACATAATCCCACAGCGATGGCTTCTTTGTCTTGCCAATGATAGCCACGTCGAATCGCTTGGATGTTGGGGTGTCCCAACAGCACATCTTTATGGCGATGGCGCAGACCAAGAACAAGGCGGCAGGGACAAGCATCTCGGCTGCTTGCAAAGAACATGCATACTGCATATATGCAGAATGTGATTGCAAAGGAGTGAACATTGCCGAGGAAACGCCCAGCGTCCAAGACACTGGGACTTACAGAATCATTGGGAACCCAGTTGCACTAATGATTTTGAACACTGCGTGCGTGGAGCAGACAACATGCTCATGATCTGACCCAAAATTCCCTTGGCCCTCGCCCACTGTTTCACTCCACCTACCAGAGCGATCTGCGAAGGGTGTCTCTAAACCCCAGAACGGGGAGGGATACTTCCTGAAGTCTCCACGGCTGACGTGAAGACCATGAGCAAACTAGCCCCAGGCGCGCAGGACCTTCACTAATGTCTGATTCAGAGTCCACCCAAGTATGTCAAGCTCTGGCATTCATGCAGCTTCTGGGTATGGATGCGACGTGGCGATCTGAAAGACATCCTGCTGAGCGCTGGTACACTTCACAGCGGCTGACACAGTGGCTTGGTTAGCAAGAAACCGAAGCCAATCCTGGCCGTGTAACAAGTGCCCGAGGAGTAATGGATAAAATCAGCCACAAGCATTCTCCAGGGAACATTTGTTATTCCAGGAGGCCACGACCTCGGCAGGCACTTGGCAGATACCTCCGCGCAGCCTATAGCGAGGATGCAGAAACATCACCCATGCTAGACGCGTACCCCCTTCTCAAATGCATCAGTGCAAATCAGAATGCGTGGCTTGGGAGCGCCCCATACAGAAATGTCCCTGGGTCGGACATGGAAGACAAGGCCCTTACAGCCTGAAGCATCAGCAGTCTTCATCATCCAGTTCAGGATGGTCTGCAGTCGGTAGCTGCACCTGTGCTGCGCTGGCCTGTACGGACCTTGCTGCCAAAGGGGCCTGAACGACGCCACGCTCCGCAGCGAAACCTGTGTGAACCGAACTCCTCAAGTAGCACCTGTCTGGAGAAGGTCAAAAATGCTTAGGCTGCAGCGGAGATGCTCCCATCATAGTGAAGGAAAAGCACAGTCACAGAGGCCTTGCTGGGACACACGCGAACGCGAGTCCCGAATGAACTCAAGTGGCAGCTCATCATCAAAGTAGGTACGCCAACACTGGAGATCATTCCCGGGGCAGGAAACCGTTGAAACTTACAGCAGCGGACGCCAGGCCACAGGCAAGGCCTCACAGCACAGTAAACCGCCACCCTTGAAGGCAAGTGGGCTGGGGCAACTTCACGCCCACAAATGGGCATCTGGCAGGTCGTCTGTGCAACCATTGCAACCACGAACCATGAACAACGGCGGCACAGGTTCCGTGGAACACCCCTTGTAAGCCACAAAGTCAACACTGACGGCGAAGATAGTCTCGCACATCCTCGTATGAGCTTTGCGGCCAGCCTTCCGGGCATTGTCTATCACTCTGACTTTGCCATCCACCGGGATGAGTAACCTCTTCAAAGGCCGTCATGTGCTTTCTCACCCGTGGCCTCCGGTTTGAGCTGACTGCAAGGCCGAAACACACCTGAGAAGTCAAGCAGGCCCACACGCGGGAAGCCTTGAACGGACAGTCCTCCTGCCTTTCCTAAGGAAGTGGGGAATAGTGACGCCACTCGAAAGTGTGTTGGGGCACCGAGTCCTCCTGCTTGCGGAAAGGTCGGAACGACCCCGCCGATGCTACAGCATTCTTGGCCCCGGTGACTCGCTTGGACGACTCAACTCGTTGCCAGGCCAGAACAGCATGAATAGACTTCAGCAATCGGCGTTGGCGAGCAATGCGCAGGTGGGCATCCTTACCCAGTCCTGGGCGCAAGATATAATCCAAGCCTTGGAGTCAGAAGGCCAGCGTTGGCCCCAGTCGCCGGCAAAAGTCACCAGAAGACTGAACTCCCCGGTCGCAAAAGCCATGAACGCAGGCCCAAATTCTTCAACGCTCGCCTGTCCACAGCAGGACACCCTCCTCAAAAGCAGCGGGAGGGAACCTCTGCGCATCCTGGATGAACCTAGCAGCCGCGGGCCAGGCGATCCTGAGGGAGGAGCTGTTGCATTGCCAGCGAGCACATCACGGCTGGAAGAGCGGCTGGTACGCCTGATGCTGCGGGATCCTGAGAGGGCCTCGGCGCTAAAGGTTGAACGCAGAATTTGGCTGACATCGCAATGGACCAGAGCCTGCTGGGCCTGGCCCCACACGCGCTCACGCAGGAGAAGGCAGCCAACTGTGATCGCATCTGAAGCGGACAAGAAAGCCGGGAAAAGCTCAAAGAAACCTGGGCCCCACACAGTGCGCCGCAATCTCGCCACCAAAACTCCGCATGAGGTGAAGGGCTCTGCAAACAAGGCTTCACTTCAGAGATCCGCTACAACACTGAGAAGCGCAATCAAGCACGGCAAGTGGAAGCCATTCCCCAACAAGGATTTGATTGTTGAGTCCGCTCGGGCACCCTGGACTATCCTAATTCTGCGTTTGCGTAGCACCCTTTTTTGCGGGCGCACATTCGCACCGCGTGAAGAAGTAAACAGTACGTCTCCGAGCCAACCCGTTGTTCGGGCCATGGCATTACGCAGCGAACCAACTTCAAGGCATCTTCAAAAGCTAAGGTTTTCCTAATTTCAAAGTTGGGGAGCAGCGCTGGCAGGAGGGTCTCTACGGTGACGTTAGAGACATCGTCCGTGTTATCAAGGGCCGGCATCACGGCGCTGACAGGGGAAGAGCCCCACCTTCGTTGCCTGGCTGATACTCCAGAAAATTCTCCTGGCGACTGGGCGCTGGATGATTGAGCCGGTTGTGGGCTGCACTGCCACAACCAGGGACAAGCAGACACGCGCGCACTGGCAGGACTTATATTGTTGCACCCCTGGAATCTTTGAAGGCCTTGCAAATCTTGAGCCCACCTTATCAGCACGGTAACCGTAGGCAGCCTGACACTCTAAGCGGCAGGCGGAGGTGATGCACAGAGTTCATTGACCTTGCGCGTGGGCGGAGGCGCTGGCATACCGTTACGCATTAGCCACACCAACGACCCCTGTCCAAAGGTCATGGCACCCCTCAAGCAACCATCGGCATAGTCTTGGCACTGCGCCAAGCTGATGAATTTTCTTTCGACTCCGTCAGAATTCTTGGCTGAGAACGTTCCCCCAAACGCCAAGGGTTTCATCAAGATGTGGAAGCCCCAGTAATGTGTGACAACATCTCGAATGGACAACGGCGTCCCGCGCAACGAGAGGGTCGCTACACCTTTTGAAGAATCTTGAAGAATCTTGCAGTTTAACAACCTCTTGAGCAAGAGGTGTGCTTTGCATATACAAGGTCTTCACCTTGCGCGCCTGAGTCACGGCGATGGCACGCTTCGAAAACTCGCGCCGCACCCTCCCTCCTCCAAGCTCGTGCCGTAGCACGTCGCGCTTCCCATCTGGTACGTGCACTGCATGTGCTCCTCCGTCTCCTCTGCGCTGCGAAGAGACACCTCTTTAGCACTCTTAAGGACATCCTGGCCGCACGCGCAGGCGCTACTGAACTTGTACCCTGGCCAAGAGCAAACGGCTGTCCTTAATCTTGCGGGGCGTGCGTTGACAAGACCTGCCAAGGAAGCCTTCCAAGTATAACTCCGTCACAACCAAGTACGCAAAGTTTGAGGCAAAGTCTTTGAAGGATTCTGGATGATTCTGGCAACTCTGGCTTACGCGTAGCCATGAATTAAATCAGTAATCCAATCCGGCTGGACATCGGCCACTTGAAAGCAACTGCGGGGCCCACTGTCGCGTCGGGCCCCCTAGTGTCCACCGACGGGACAGCGCCATGAGCTAGCGAGGCCTTGAGGCACTGGCACCTAGCAGGGGAGCTTTGGACAAAACTACGGCATATGCGCTCGAGTATGCACCAACCGAGGCTTGCGGTCCCACAGACAACTGACAGGAACTCACACAGCCTAGCGCCTAGCAGTGCACAACCAGAAGCGCATGGCAACAGCACGCGGCTGAGCTCTTTACTTCCCTGAAGCAGGGTAAGCTCAGTCCCTTGCATCCAAGCGCACTCTCTGGCGTCTCAGACAAGACCTCGAGCGATTGCCTGACTATCCGCACATCAGTTGGAATTTTTGAGCACGAATGCCAGCACAGGCGCGACACACCTCCAAGAAGCTGTCTGCCCCGTTGCGGTTTGCTCTCCCGCGTCTCAGCCACTTTCAGACGGGACTGCCTCTCGTTCTCTGCGCGCGCTCCACACTAAGTCAGCAAGCTGAGCGGAAGCGGCGACGCCGCGCGCTGATGGATGGGAGGATTTTGTTCGAGCGTTTTCAAGCCCAAGCGCTGCCTGGCTGTGACAATGGCCTTCTGAAGGTTCAGAGTGGCAGGCTCTGAATCACACTTGATTTGGACAGTGGCATGCCCTAAACCTTGTATGAAGCACATGAGCTCAACTCCTAGATGCCTGGTGCTAGCCTTTGACTCGCAAGGAACTGCACGCACGGAACCAGTCGAACTGTCATGTGCAACGAGGCAGCACAAAAGACCACGCAGATCATCCTCACTCTTGCATTCCTTGACCAAGACTTCATTTGACTCTGGGTCATATCCAGTAAAGCAGAAGTCATAGGAGATGCAT